CAGAAAGCAGAAAGGTAGCGGTTGCAGGACTAGAACTCAGAGCCCCCATATCGCTAAACGCTTCGCCACCGCTGCAGTTTGATACTCAATTATACACTCTTGGCGCCTAAGAAGATTCCTTTACCGTTACCACTGAAACGATTACAAAAATCGTCCAATATCCAGATTTTACTCAACTGGACGGCGGGAGCTGAAAAGGATCAGAGAAAATTCAGGAGAGTGAGTATGAAATTATCAACACAGGCAAGAGCTTCGTGTGAAATTCAAGCCAGTGGATTATTTTCATATATTATTTTGTGTTAGAAATGTTACAAGCTTCCCGATTTTTCGCGATATTTGTTTGGATCCGTTTTAGTGCATTTACCAAAAGATGTCTGTCGGGTTCAGTGTTGATTGATCGAGTTGCTTTTAGAGCTTCGATAATGAAAATGCACGTTTACAGTGGTCTGTTCTTGAGTTCCGCTGACTTCACTCCCGGCGGATTAGTAAAGCGAGTTTTCAAGTTAGAAGAGCTGACATTCGATTGATTGAATGTTATGTTCGGCCTAAACGTAAAGTCGAAACGAGCCCTTCTTGCTAGACCCCAACAATAATGCGGAAGAGAGAGCAAAACTGGAGGACGACAGTTAAAGTGCATTGTATAATCGTAGCACGACAAGCGTACACAAGGCACAAATCCAAGATACGAGAATGACACAGTGTACGTACCAATCGAATTGCATCTGGACTCTGCGAATGGTTGTTGTCTCTTCTACATTCATTCAATCCGGACTCGACTTGCCTTTGGCGTCGCGAGCGTGCTCGTGGCGTAACGAGGATCCGTGCACGGCCTGCCGAGTTATGTAACCTCAGTCCTAACAGCTAATGAATAGTGATGACACTCATTTTTTTAGCTGTGTAACTTGATGGGAGTTCACTCCACATACGGCAAACAATTTTGTCAGCGGTTTCACTGGTCGCAATCATATTATGCACCCGGGTGTCACTGACTTAAACACTGAGGCATCATCATCATAAGCGTACAGCGAAATACAGTGAAACGAACTGAACGCTGCCAAACTCGCAATACATACGAGGTTAGTGGTAAAATTCAAGGTGAACAGGGATTGGATCTATTTTGAGGGAGGGAAAAGAAGGTGAGCCACTATGGTCAANNCCACTACCTGCTCCAGTGGACGACCGCATTTACCTAAAGCTCTACGCCTAACCTCAGCATTGCTAGTCCGGTTACCCCATCAGATTTGTACAATGCGATGTAGACAACGGTGTTCCAAAACCGACAATTCATTTTTATCCTATTCCCGTAATGGCCAAGTCTCTGCACCGCACAGCAGGATTGGCCGATTTGCTGCAGCATATACTCGACCCTTAAGAGAGAGCCGAATGTCACGACGGCGCCACAGATGTTTCAAGTCATTATCATCATCATCGTACAGCGAAATACAGTGAAGCGAACTTCACTGATTACCGCCAAACTCGCAATGCATACAGGGTTAGTGGTAGAATTTAGGGTGGACAGGGATTGGATCTATTTTGAGGGAGGGAAAAGAAGGTGAGCCACTATGGTCAACACACACAGTACGCAATCGAACTCTATATACATACTGTTTCAAGCATTCTGATCTGATAAGAAACGACAACAAAAACGCCACTGCTGCTGGTTCGCTGCCATATCCTTCAATGTCTCCAACCAACCAGTTGTAGAGTCTTTCGGACCCCAACCTACCTCTACCTAATGGTTCTGTGCATTTCTTCATGCCTCGTCCCCACGTCATCTGTTGACCTCCGAGTGGTTTCCTCCAGCCCGGATTAGCTACAGCGAATAAAGCGCGATGCGGCAGACGATGGATGGACATACGCAATATGTGTCCTAGCAAGCGAAGTTTACTAATTTGAATTCGGTGTGCTAGCAGGTTTATACCTGATAGACTCCCAAACACACCACGGTTTACCTCCACGTTACTAACCCGTTCGCTCCATCCAACGTGGGCTAAACTGCGTAAACACCAATAGTCGAAAACTTCTAGTCGACGGATATCCTCTACTCGCAAATTCAAGGTCTCACAACCATAAAGCAGAACTGANGCCTTGGAAATGCGGGCGGTTATCTCCGTTGCTGCACTACCGTCATTGGTCACGCAACTACCTAAGTAGGAAAAATAATCCACCATAACTAAATTCTGACCATTTAGTTTCAGAGCGGGAGTAGAGGAAACCCAGTCCTGCAGCATCACTTTGCACTTTGAAGGT